TGCATAGTAAATATTGACAAGCAGCAGCAGCAGCAGCAGCAGAAGCAGCCGTAGCAGCAGCAGCAACATCTCGGCCCAAAGACGCAGCAGCAACATGAATATCGCACCTTGTAAACTCATTTGCGCGTACGTGTTGAAACAAATGTTTGCGGGGGGTAAGTGAAATAAAAAAATTGCCATCCCGAGACTAAAAACAACAGGAACTGCAGCACCAATTCGAGATTATCGCGTGATTGAATCTGTAGCGTGACCAATCACGAGGTTAAATGGGAATGGTGGTGAATCAAGGCGATAAACTGAAGGATTGGTTTGGAGGAAATACAATTTTCCGTATACCTTTGATAGATTTTAACCATTTTAAATATTTAAAATGTGATTAAAGCTCCCAGAACTTTGATTTCTAACTTTATAGAAAGTTTTTGTACTTACAAAGGAGAAGAAGTATCAACTTTTAGGATACGAACACCTTTTCAGGCCCTGTGAAAGTGTTTTCCCATTTTTCCTGAAAAATACACAATTAGTAAATCATTTCCCACTAATGTACTTACTTATTTGACAAACAGCCAGCCATCGTGCCACACAGCTTAGAAGATTTTTGTTTGTCTTTAAATATTTAAGTAGTTAGTAGTAAGTAATAAGTAGTAAGTAGTAAGTAGTAAGTAGTAAGTAGTAAGTAATAAGTAGTTAGTAGTAAGTAGTAAGTAGTATTTACCATTTATTTAACGGACATTGTTTGGCGGGCGTCGTAATTGGCTTTTAAATATTTCCCTTTATATTTGAGAAGAGATTGCTGAGTGGCTGGGTCACGCCCCCATCCTTAACGGCGGCCTTCCCGCCAGCAACAAATGTTGCATTGGCAATTGCCATAAGTCAGACACAGCAGCAACTTCAGTGCAGTAGCAACATGGCCACGCCGCAGGAGTGAATTTCATTGCATGCAGTTTATGTGCGGCCTAATGGGGCTGCTGTTGTTGCTGCTGTTGCTGCTGTTGCTGATGGGAAGCCACCAGCAACACGTCCATCTTCATCATGGGCAGCAACTGGGCCTCCTTCCTCCTCGTTTGCCATGCTGTGCACTTGGCGTTTGTCTGGTTTTTTGGGCACCATGACACCAGGAGAGCAGTTTGAAACCCCTTTTCACCTGACCATCCCTCACCTTTATGCAAATTCAGTGGTGCTGCTGTTGCTGCTTCTGCTGCTGCTGTTGCTGCTGCTGCGTGTCAATGCAAACTTTGCTGACTTGCATGCGAATGTTGCTTGCACAAACATTGAGGTGTACTGGCAAAGTTGTCGGCGTAGTCGGGAGGCAAGAAGGAGTCGCTTGCGTTGTCGCTGCCCATGTTGCTGCTTGTCCCTGGTGTTGCTGCCGTTGCTGTTTGTGTTGCAGCTTCAGGAGCAGCAGAACCAGCGGCGGCAGCAACAGCAACAGCAGCCACCACCGACGGCTTGTTGGCCTGGCGACCACAGCTGGGTGTCCTGTGCGCGCACAGTTAACTTAAGTTAAGCAAACTCGGTGGCCAGCAAAGGCAAAGGCAAAGGGCAAGGGATTCGCATCCACTCCGCCAGGCCAATGGAAATTGGACTTGGCCTCCGAATGAACCAGTCGATTGAACAGGAGCACCAGGCCAGGCAGTGATGAGAGCTGATAAAGGAAACTGGTAAGCTGGTTTATAAATTAAGATATTTTATATAAGATAATGGCTTTTTATTAATATTATAAAAGTTTAATGGCTACTTTAAGTTTAAGTTGTGTCTTTTCTCTTCAGAAAATTGGCTTTTTCTGACTTGATAGCTACAAAAATCATTCTTAGGGTGGTAAATCTACCTCATTCAGCTAATAATTAACCAAAAAGCCAGCTCAGATGTGCGTAAGTTGTCGATGCCCTCACTCCTCCTGCCTGCTCCATCTCCTCGATGTATCCAGCCAGTTGGTGTTACATTTTTACGTGCTCCAACGCCCAATGAAGGTAAACACGGCGGAGGGAAAACAAGGAGGAGGAGCAGGAGCAGGAGGAGGAGGAGGAGTTGTTGACCACCAGTAACGCCTACGCAGGCAGTCAGATTCGGAATCGGATTCAAAGAGTCAGGGAGTTGGCAGTGCAGCATGATGAATGTCCCATTCCAGCTCCTAGCTGAGCAGCGCTTTTCGTACGTGCCTGACTTTCAGTGCAGAGGCTTGGAAAAGGGGGTTTTAGTATGGGTAATAGTTAGGTACATCTTGCTTAGATGAGGTTTATGAAGCAAAAGGTTAAAGATTAAAAATTGATAAGAAGATGAACCATTTTATATGATCCTTAACCTAACCTTAACCTAGCAGTAGTAACAGATAGTAACTGTCACACTCATTCTTTCTGATTTAAAATCCTTTTTCTTAACTTTCAAGCAGAACTAATCCCCTGGGAGGAGAGGTAACCGGACGCCTCTGCCTCTGCCATTCCATAGAACGTGTGCCAGCGGGTCATGTGGTGACGGTGAGGATTTTGGCACAAGATTTTTGCGCCCCCCAAAATCAATTAAAATGCCAAGCGGCGTGAGTCACACGCACATGGAGAGTTCGGGATTCGGAATCGATGAGGTTGGTCTTCGGTGTCGAAAGTGTTCAAAAGTGTTGAAAGGAGCGGGCTCCCTTTGTCGGACTTTTGCCGGGACCTCCTCGACGGATGGATGATGATGATCCAGCGAGGTGATGAAGCTGCAGATGGAGATGGAGTAAGAGTTGAGATGTGATGATGGGCCAATGGCCAGGAATTACAATGCTTATTGCATCTGCTGGAAATTTGCATACCCAATCACCGAATGGCATCCCCACTCTTGACCCCATTTTCAATGGCCACTCGACACGACTCCGGCACGTTCTGTAATCGATCATCAGTGCCCAAAGTGGCCAGAAGACTGGAAACGTATGTAGCTTCGAAGACCTGGAAAGGCGAAGACTGAGGGCCGCCTCTCATCAAAGTCCAACAAAGCGCATACCACAGATATCAATTAATTTCAGCGGGCCAGCGTGGATGTGAAAAGGCCAACAAAATCGTAATAAGTCAATGCCTTTGACGGGTACACTTAGGGAAAAATCGATCGATATTAATTATTACAATTTATAGCATTTTATCACATCTTATCAGGAAGGAAAGGCATAAAAATCGAAGAAAAATCTATGATAAACTAAAAATGTTGATAAAAGTGGAATATTTTTAGAAAACTTAGATAAATCCTGGAATATTTCCTTAAATTTTTAATAAACTTCCTTATATAAACTTGTTTCCTCTGCACAGATACCGAAACAGAGATCGAAGTTCCGAGACTTCGGACCTTTTTTCAGACCAAGTCTATTGATAAACACAAATAAGTTTGTAGCAGGATGATGATGATGATTCTCTCTACCTCGGCGAGTCACAATCATCATCAATCGGTTAAGAAAATATTTAACAAGTGTTTGAATGATTTTGAAAAATGATGTGCAGCATGTGCAGCAACAGGAACGGATTCTGAATACGGATTCTGGTTACTCGATTCTGGATTCTGGATTGTGGCCACAGAAGAAAGAGCCAGAGAGTCTCCTTGGCCGGCAAAGTCGTCTACAAATTATTGCACGCGATCGCTCATTTCCAGCAGAAATAACACAAACACGGCAGCAACTTTGGCTGGGGGGAATGGGTTAACTTCTTAACTGGCAACCAGAAACCAGCAACCAACAACAAGCCACTACCAACAACAACAACAACAACAACAACAACTTGAGTTGCCAGTTTCCAATCTCGCAGGCGATGTAGATATAGCAAATAAGATATGGCCGGGGCATGTCATGGGCCCCGCGACTGTGAAAACATCTCAATGGCAAAAGTATCACATCATTCATAATTTCATTGCCGCAGCGAAGGAGGGTTAAAGGGGCAGGAGCAGAGGAAGGGGCAGGGGCAGGGGCCTCTGGGAATTGAGTTGTTGGACCTGGCCACGAAAATCTCTCGGCTCAAGTGTTGAATGTTTGCTCAAATAACAACGGCAACAACACGAGATCCGATCCGACCAACAGATCTCGAGATATATCTCCCGGGGATCACTTGGGGGCGCGGTGAAATTTGACAAATGAACCGGGCAGCCCGAAAAATAAACACACACACACACAAACACTATAAAAAAAGTACTTAAAATATATGCACTGAAAGAAAAATTATAGAAACTTTTAACTTAAAAAGAAAATTTCAGGCAGATACCAAGAAAAATGAATACAACTTTGTTTTCTTCCGAAACCTTTTTAAAACCCCGAATTCTTTGCTGATTTCTCTCAGTGCATTGGCAAGCATAGCCCGGAGTGATCATTATTAATGATGACGATTTGTTGATATTTTTGTAACGTGCTATGGAAAGCCCTTTTCGTCTGCAATGCGATCGCACAATTATAAACCAACAACAGGAATTACAAACAAGTGCAGTACCCACAGCCTGCCCAGTCATGCCCATTCCCAATCCCAATCCCGAATCCCTTTAACCACTCTCGATACCAATAAGCATGATCATCGCAATGATCTTCCACACAAATTGCTTTATCCGAACAGCTGGCTGGCAGGAAACCTCTGCATAATCTAGGCTTATAATTCAATTAATGCCTTCGGTTCTCTCTCGATGCACTTAGCTCGGAACCTGAAGTGCAACACTAGAATCCAGCCACATGACTGGCAGCTCGAGTGGCCATAAACCATGTGGATGTGGTGGTCTCCATGATCTTTTCGATCATCTCCAGCTCCAAACTCGTCGTCACACTGTCTGCGGCAGATGCTGGTTGGGCACAGGTTGATGATCGAACTGCACCGGAAGTCTACTCTTCGAGTGTTGCCCAAAGAGATCGTTTGGCATTAGCAAATGTTGAAATTGATAGAAATTAAGGTATTAAGAGAAGATCTTCTTTAAGATAAATAAAGTTAAAACAAAGAAAGACCTCCTATTACAGCATTTAGGCTGGAATATAGAAAGATATAAGTTCTTACCCAAATTTGTTTATCAAAAAGTTAAAAACCATTAAGAATTATTCATTGCAATAACTTCATTAATAATCACGTTACTTTATCACCCCTATTAGCTATCTTTATCAGCTTGAAACCACCTTTTTAATAAGCTTAATTATTCCCACTACTAACTTAAACAAGTCCAAATGAAGTTAATCATTTCCCTGATTAACCCAAAAGTTAATCACTTTCAATCCAACTTAATTAACAACACCATTCATATTTGTTTTTGAAAAAGTTTTTTTCTCTTTAATTTGTTTTTTTTGTCATTTTTTTTTAATTGATTTCGGTTCATCTTTAATTGTATTTTTATAATTTGTGTTAACTAAATGTTAGTTTTGAATGTTTTCTGCGTTGCTTATCAATTTCGGCTATCATTACTATATACAAATTGCCTGGCCAGCTAAGTTTAGGATACGACTATAGATCTAAATCTTTTTATATATATATATATATATATATATATTTTATATAGATTTTTATACATTTAGAAAACAAGAAAATAAACAATAACAACGTTTCTCATGGTAGGTATACGACAATGATTAGGCATACGCATAAATATATTACAGGAGCCTTGGCAAGCAGTTATCAATCTTGGGGTTCGAGTGATGGGGAAACACTTATCGATTACCGAACATTAAACTAAATTAAATTTAAATTTCATTTAAATTAAATTAACTAAGCTGCAGCTTCTTACACTACAATGCAGGAATGTTTGTTTCTCTGTTTGCTGTTTGCTGTTTGCTGTGTCTTTTTGATGAGATGGCGATGGGTTGCTCAAAGCCTAAAAAACTGGGACTTCTTTGTATGATGGGTTTTAGATTTTCTTTTATGATTTGTTTTATTTTTTTTTCTAGATTGATTCTCCTCTTGTGAGACTGCTTTTGTGTGGACGCATTTATATAAAATTTTGACTAGGAAAGGACGTTTTGTGGGTGGCCAGCTAGCGGTGTGTCCGAGCTGGCGAGGATTGCTCCAGTCACACCTCGCTGGGCATACAATGCACACTGGAGTCCTGCGACAATTCATCCATGGAGGATTCTAAAAGGAGAGGAAATAGGTATAAAGTTATTAGGTTAGTGTCTTAGAGATGTTAATGCTTTTTGTGACTATAAAAACTATCTTATCTTAGCTAAGAATCTTCTTTCTACAACTTACCATGAGTCGGGTATAGACCCGCTTTAGAGCCGTTCATATGCATTGGGGTCTGTGCGTTATTCTGAAATGAATACGTTAACTGCAGGTTAATATGACGCGCAAATGAGCTTCCTTCCGGTTCGCGTACTGCAATCAAAAATCGTTTGTTGAAAGTAGAAAAAAAACAGAAGAAATTGTAAGTACTGGTGTTAGCAGCTTGTGAGGTTTTCATTTGGGGGTATAAAGTGACAAAAAACTGATTCTACTGGTTGATGGTTGAGTTCTACTTTTAAGGGATACTCTAGAGAGGATCTTCAGGATGGAGATGGAGAAGGAAGAGGAACAGGAGCAGGAGGCATGCGGCACTAATCCACTACTTACTTTTATTCTTACCAGCATGTATGTGTTTTTTCTGACGCGCTCGAGAATTCTGGAACCAAACTTGCGTCACACGCTTGCTGAGACCGGTCACCGAGGCAATACGCTCCAGATCCTGGCCATCCGGATTACTGTCAATCTGAAAGTTCGCCTGCAGCACTTGCAACTGCTCCTCGGTGAAGGTGGTTCGCACCCGTTTCGTCTTGCTCTTGTGATAACCATCGCCGTCACAGCCCTCTGAAATGGTAAAAATAATACAAAAATAAATCAGAAACTTAATCGGAAATCGTAGGCCAGACACTGGTGTTCTAGGTCTTTAAGTTGTTATGTTTTTAAGCAGGGTATCTTAGTACTTAACATATTTTTTTAATATTTTTATTATATGTTTTTGCCTTTAATATCTTAAAAACTACTCAAAAACTCATAAAAACCTTTTCTAGACCAAAAACTTCGTTTTTAGAATAAAATTTCATTTTTAGCATTAAGAAAAATCGAAATAAATATAATTTAACATTTTTATAACCCAAAAAAAGGGAACTCTCTCAAGTCTCAAGTGCGTATAAGCCTTTAAAGGTCTTTCGCGGCGACTGGTCTAGGCCTGGTCTAAAAGCATTTTGACAGTCGGCCAAATTGAAAACGTCAAAAAGTGTTTATGGTTTATAGAGCTGCTGCTGCCATGCTTTATGTGGCCACTGTGACCGGACACGGTGGTCTCCTCCAGGAAGGAGATGGGGTTTTTTTAGAGGGGGGTCTCTAGATGGGGCTACGACATTCACAAGCCGATCACGTCGCCTCAGAAAACCAAAAAAAAAAAGTGAGGGAAAAAAATGAAAAACACAACTGGAGAGTAGTTTTTTACGAGTGTGACACGATTTCGTCAGTGGCGACTGGCTGGCGCTTAGCTTCAGCCGCAGCGCAGCAAAGCGCAGCTTCACTGTACCATTCACAGTGGAGCGTCCCGAATTGGCAGCCGTTCTGCCATCGAAGCGTGCAGCATGTTTTGCAGCTTGTTTTTATGCCCCTCAGTTTTGTTGTAGTTTAAAGTCAAAATCTTAGTGAAAATACTAACCGTCACTCGATGTGGTGCCACCCTCGACCGTCTCCAGATAATGAGCCTTGCAGAGCACCCGGTCATCCATGAGGGCGAACTGCTCGCCGGTGGACAACTGGCGTCCACACTGATCGCAGGCGAAGCAGGCTAAATGGAAGACCAGCTCCCTCGCCCGACGCACCCAATCCGAGGCGGAGATGCCGCGACAGCACTTCGAGCACTTGGCGCCGAAATTTCTGTAATTAAGGTAAAGGAAATATTAATTAGTTGGGTTTATAAGCTAAAGATATTGGTTAGTATTAGTTACTATTAAAGTATAGCCTTAATGATATGATAGGCAGTTCGGTATAGCTTTTCAATCTCAAAGAAAATCAAAATGGAAAACAGAGGCATCTTTGTTAAGCCGATACGGTTAAGTACCATATTTTCCTGTATGCGGCAGAGAGCGCTTTCCAAGCGGAAGTGGTTGCCCTGGCGAACGTTTTTCCAAATGAGTCGGCAACTTTCGGTGGCTTATTGTTAGCTTTTAAGCTTATTTTTACAACAGCCACAACAATGTATGGCCAGAGCATGACTCGGATGTGGATGGGTTTTCTCGGAGATGGGTTCAGATGGGATGTTGGGATGCTGGGATGATGTCTCCATCGGGCAATGCACACTTAAAATTCTTAACTTGAAAAATAAATATTTTTACAGCATCTCACGGCGCGTCTGTTTGTTTATTTTCATTTGGTTCGACGTCGACACCGTTTTCCTACGTTTTCCCCTTGCCTTTTTTTTCTCTGTTTTTTCTTTTTTTTTTGTATCTGCCAGATACTTTGGCTTGCAACTTGCATTCTCGCCCGTAAAGTTTTCATTTCGTTACGTTTTGGCCGCATCTTTGCCGCTGTTGACTTTATGGATTAAGTCGCAAACGCTGTCGAATTGTTACAATTACAATTAACCCAAGATGTGTGGGAAACTATTCGGAAAACACTTGTCCACATACACAATCGAGTTGGAAAATCAATTGGAATTTTCGAAAGTTCAATTGGGCAGTTTATTTGGAAAGGGCAGATGGCTTTTGGGGTGTTAATATAGGGGGAAAAGTATAAATATTTATAAGAAAAAATTATAAAATCATCAAAGATCATCCCCAGAAGTTTGGTTAATCTTATTAAGATCTGACATCTGACCCTTTAAGCTCCAATTTCCCATACTAAATACTATCTCTTAGATAATCAATGATACTCACTTGCTGTAGTCGGCCTTGCAGTACACCTGTCGCTCCCGGATGAAGCAGGACTGCTGGCGGTCCAGGGGGCACATGCACATGCAGCATCGCAGGCAGTGGGCGTGCCAGGAGCAGCCGCCTACCTCCAGGAAGAACCGATCCGAGATGGGTTCCCCACACGCTGCGCAGGAACGCAGCTCAGTCTGCAAAATAAACAAGAAAAGAGCAGAGATTTAGGCAATGGGAAAGAAGACAAGTTTTCTATGCAAATTCCGTTGATTCTTTTTTTTTATTTTGCTATCACACATCTGAGAACCGGATCGGTTATATATACTATAAAGAAAAAAGAGATCTCTGATTTCTGATCTCTGATCTGAAATCGTAGCGCCCGCGTCGGATTTGTTTCTTCTTTTGTTGTGCCTTCAAATGAAATCGTTCAATAAATCTGGCAAATGTCCCGGCGGCTTCTGTTTTATTTCTTAGCTGCAGCATTTAACTTATGTATATTAAACACAAATTTCAATGGCCAGCACAAAAGACGAGTTTCATTCGCTTTACGATTGTTTCGCTCTTTTTCAAAATTGAACCATAAATTTTAAAATGTTATGCTAATTGTTGTTGCTGTTATTGGTGCTGGTGCTGATGCGACGGCAACTGCTTCACTCCGAAGTCCACGAAATGTGAAATTTATCGACCCAATCCGCAGATCGATCTAATGAATATTCAATGTTTCGCCTGCATGTTACGCCGCTTTAAATGAGTGTTTCAAACAAATTTTATTGCGTTTCATAAAGTACAAAAAGCAGACACCGAAACGAAAAGTAATCTAAAGGGAATTATTTAGATTGATTTTTTAGTGCTAACAGCGAGGTGTTGATCTCAGCAAATATCTTGACAGCTGCAGAGATCTGCATTTTATTTTGAAAATATGCAGTATTGTTGTTGGCAAATGTGTAATTAAAAGGCTTTTGGTAATAATTTAAGTTGAGCTATGAAGCTATATTTTGTTTTAAGTGAAGTTGAAGTCAGTAGATGAGAGGTGGAGGTGCCAAAATGAAGCTGAAGTTGCTTTAAGCTGAAACCATAAATAAGGCTGCTTGTAATTGTTTTAAAAATGTACAGCCATAAAGTATTTACAACTCAAATAATTTATTCTCTTAACTAAAACGCTTTAAATTATAAAGCCATTAATCGAAATGTCTAAATAAATCACTTAAAAGATAAATGAAAAACAGGGAGATAAAACCAAGTCGTTTTTAGATACTTAAAATGTGATTTTTGTTAACAATTTTATTTCTAAATGTTAAATATCAAAAAGTATTATATGAAGGATTTTTAACTTAACATTTTTCACTCACAAATAATTTATTTAACCCATCTCCCATAACTCCCATAACACTGCAGGCCTTGTTAATGCCTTCTCATTATCTCCCCTTTGATTGAAAAAACATTTCAATCGCCCGATCTGGTTATTGTTGATTATGATGTGCAATTTCCGAGTGGAACGTTAATATCCATAAAAAAAAAGAATCGAATGCAGTACTTGAAACATTTAATTAATGACCGGCCTTTCGCTTAAGTACTTTTCATTCATTAATAAAAAAAAGAGCAGCCGGAGAAATGCGAATCGAAGTTTTTCTTTTTCCATTAATCAAAAAATGGCAGGGAAATTCCTATTTTCTGTGTTGTTGTTAAGAAAACAATTGCAGGCGCAAATAATTGCCGTTTAACTTATGGCAACTTGTTGTTAACTTAGCTGACGAATTCGTTTCGTTTCTTCTGTTGCCGCCGGAAAATAAATACAAATAAATACGAGATAAAACCTTTTTGGCCGTGACTATAGACCGATCAAAGGGCCCGCCATTTGCGACTAAGGCAATTAATAAGACAATGCCGAAGAGCAGACTGGAAAAACAAAAACAAAAAATGAAGCCAAAAGCCAAAAGCCAGCCCATGGGTAATAGATATCTATGAGAATAATTTATGACAGGCCGCAAACTATCAGATACAAATGTATCTAGGTATCTTTTATATTTTCATTTCAGGCAAAGGGGGCTTAGGGGGTTGAGGCCGGAATATGCAACATGGCCACCATCAAAATGAGCAACATGTGAGCTGGTATCTGTGCGTGTTCCGTGGACATGAAATAACTACATCCTAACATGGCCGTCCGAACGCGCAGCCGCTGCCATTTAACTTTTCAACTCCGCCGTGTATGTGACACGTTTAATAGCGGTAGTCGAGGCAGTCAAGTCCCCCTTCCCGACCCATAGATATACCATAACCATAACCCATACCCCTCCTTCTCCTCAACCACCCGATTTTCCCTGGACGAGCCTGCGCTCTGCCATATCCCAATCCCAGGCCCACATCCCTCCCCTTCTCTGACGCCGCCGCCTGTCACTTTCGTTTAACTTTTCACATTGCGCGCCCGAAAAACACAGCCAACAACAAGGCCGAATATTGCCAGGGCAAATGGGGGAGGGGAGATGGCCAGGGAGGTACTAGGCTAGGGACAGGGGTAGGGTCTGCGGTGCAAGGGGTGTTTTCAGCAATTTGTTTTCCCAACGCCCGTTTTAACACACAAAAACGGAGGCTGAGACAGTGACTTCAATGCACTTGGGAAAATTTGTGACTGAGATTTGGGATTGTATTTAAAGGCAGAGGGATGCTGAAATCAAATTGCAGAAAAATCTGAAGATTTTGAAAAGTTTTAGGAATCCTAAAGTTTTTTCAGATATTAATATTTTGTAACCAACTTTTATCTCAGTGTCTTGGACCCGAAATCGCACTTTGAATTCCCTGCAGCTTGTTGGTTATACACATGCAATTGCTGTTGTTGTTGTTGTTGTTGTCATGTCTATGCCCACTTTTGAAAATATGTCAGTTGTCAGAAGGACAGAAATAAGAGGGGAGAGGGGTGGGTAAAGGAGCGGTTAGAAGGACACATTTGAAGTGGCATTTTTGGCGAGCATGTCATTTGACTGTAATTTACTCGTGAGTGTCGTGAGCCCTCTGCGGTTGTGTGTGCATTTCAATGCGAGCTGCATAAATCTGTCCATGAATTTCAAATGGGTTTTCTTGTGGGCTTAGAACTCGTGGAAACTTTTCCGACTAGGTGACAGAATAAAGTGCGGAAAATGGCTTTAGTAGGCCAAAAAATGACGAGGAGATGGATTTATCATAAAGTTAATGACGTTTAAGGAGTTGAGTTAATGAAACTTAAGGAATCCTGCAGTTAGATTCTTGTAACTAATCAAAGAAAAAGACAGCTATATAACATCCTTATCCTTATCTTCTGATAAAATAGATAAAAAAAACCCAAACCACTGACCCCCATCTAGCCAAACTGAACTGGCAAAGATTTTCAGAACTGATAGAAGATGATGAATTCGCTGGATCTCTGCGGGTCGCAATGTACGATAAAATATATATGTATGAGACCGGGACCGAGGCTAGTTGTGTGCCTTTTATTGTTATTATTTGCTATGAATACCCAGTGTTATATAAGCACTCCCTATGCCAACCGTGGCCCTCATAAAAATTCCACAATTTAAAACTTGCACCTTGCAACTTTTGGCTCGAAATGTCGTAAATAACCCCGACTGGCAGTCGTATAAAAGTGGGAAAAACAAAAGGCCAAGACAGAACTATAAAAGACACATGAAGAGTATGCAATAAACTTTATAATCCCCCTCCCCCCCATCCATAAGGGATATCTGCAGATACCTCTACTTGGGCAAGGTGCTCAAAGAGGGCCTCTAAGATAGTATGCAATGAGACTGCAGACCGGTAGCCGGGAAAGTTAAGAACTATATCATCTTCAGGAACCATCAGGAAATAGAAGAAAAGGAAAAGATATGGCAGGGGGACACACCTAGAAGATCGATTACCCCCGGAATTGGTAGCAATCTTTCACGTCATTGCGCAAATTGAGCGATCATCAGAGGGACTACCGTACCAATATCGATTGCTATATCAATAGATGGAACGTTGGTTTGATGACAAAAGCCCTTGGCCACTCAATTGGTTTCTCCGGTTGTGACTTGTCATCTCCTTGCCTTTTCACTATCCACCGTGAGAATGTTGTGCTCCCAAATCTCTGATATATATATAGGGGAAAAAATCCAAACAAAAGCCGCTTGATAGCAGACAAACCACAATGGACATATCTTTTCAGCCGATATCGAAGCAGTTATGACAACAGCTTGCCCACTTGGCCACTTGTCACTTGAACGGATTTTGGCAAATGTTTTCCTAAGGCCTTTCGATCTCTCGACTTAAGCCGCTTTTCAACAACAAATTGCAGCGAAGGCTGCTCGGTTTATTTCCAATATTTTTCTATTTTTTTTTTTATATTGTGTAAACTCTTTTTTTTTCTTAGCTGATTTATGCGGCATGAAAATTTTCAACGGGCGTCTGTCAAATAAATATATATTTTTTGGTCTGCGACGGGTGGTGACTTTCGAAAAAGGCGTATCGCTTTTTAATTAGAGCTACTTTTTTGTGTTATCCAGCGCGGTGCGTGGGCCTTTTAGCTTTGTGTTTAATATATTGAATTATGCTAAAATATGACTACCAAAAGGTTTACACGTCGGCGTTTGTTTGGCGTTAAGTTGGGATCATCGTATCTGATTGTTATTTAATGGCCACACGAACTGCTCTTTATGAATGGAACCAACGGCCAACAAACGCCCACGAAATACTAAATCCGAAAAATACAAAAAACACAAAAAAACAAAAAAAAAAAAGTGGAATAAAAAGCATCCATATCCATAATACGAGCACGCTCCATAAATTGGCTAAATGTTTACAAATATTTCATCGGGAAGCGGTTAATGGTAATGTCGCCGTCCAGCTCTTTCGCTCTTTTACTCCGATATACTCCTCCATATTTATATATATATATATATATATAGTCTATAGCCCTGGCTGTTGTCGCGCCCATTGATCCAATCAAATTAATGGGCTGCTATAACTGGGCAGCCAACAAAAACGACAGCAGAAATGAAAAGGGAATGCATTTCTATGGGAATACAGTGGGAACTGACTAAAGGAAACTGACAAGAATAATCTACCAATAAGATTTGCATATTTCTTTATAGTTAAGATATGTTTTAAGCCTCATTTAAGCCATTTTTGTGTTTAAAGGATTTTTTAAAATATTTTTCAAAAATCTAGGAAAAATGTAAATAAGTTTAAA